TTTCTTTCCCAAGCCTATCTGTAAAGCACCCATCTGTAGGCCTTCTCTTTCTGTGGACGCTCAGCCATCTGCACACTATGCAGAGGAAATGAAACATTCTTATTGCTCATGTGTCAAATTTTGCTGTGTTCATGGCTTCACAAAAGGTGCTTATTGCAAAGTTAGGGGTGATTTACAAGGAATGTGTTTTAAAATACGAAACAGGGAAGTGAAATGAAAACTTTTAACTTGAGTACTGCATTTTTCTCTAACTGACGCTTTCCTTTAGCGTCAGTTAGATGACGCCGTAGGATCGCGTCATGTGAGTGACGCTAAAGGGCGCCTAAAACGTCAAATATTGAAGCATGGTCAAAGGTGACGCCTTGGGGTGAGAATGCGTTGGCACAAGATGCTGCAAAGATGCAAGTGCAGCAGTCAAATGTGGAAAAGCAGCAGAGTGGAATCCAAAAATGCATTTTGAAAGGCAGCTTATGGACTGTGATAAAATTGTACTTTTTAATGATCGATCTCTATGAGGACATGGAAGTCCACACCACAACTGTATCGACAAAGGGCAGCAATGCTGTTAGAATAGAAACCCATTTCAGAAAGATTTTTTCCAGCTAATGAACAATAAAACTTTGACAACCAATCAGGATGCATCCTGCTTTAAAGAGCTTGAGCTTTCAAAGCAGCAGGTATGACATACAGTGGGGCCAAAAAGTATTTAGTCAGCCACTGATTGTGCAAGTTCTTAGACTTAGAATAATTAGAGAGGTCCTTTCGGTACACTTTAACTATGAGAGACAAATTAAGAAAAAAAATCCAGGAAATCATATTGTAGGATTTTTAAAGAATTTATTTGTAAATTAAGGTGGAAAATAAGTATTTGGTCACCCACAAACCAGCAAGATTACTGGCTATCACAGACCTGTAACTTCTTCTTTAAGGCTATGTTTACACGGAAACAATTCTGAAGAGAAAACGCGAAAGTGGCATTGCGTTATCACTTTTTATTCTGCGTTTAGACAAGCGTTTTGGGTGGGAAATCCAATAATCTATTAATTATTATCACAATAATCTATTAATTATTATTATCTATCAATAATAGATTTAATAATCTAATAAAGGTTAGATTTCTCCACTCAGAAACTCATGGAATAGTTTATTATTAACTATTTGCAATGATTTTATTTTATTTAAATAATCATTTTCAAAATGTATTTTTTTTCAAAATGCTAAGCTGTGGAACAAGCAATATTCAATTTGTTATAAACAGAATCAAAAATATATTGCATTTATTTGTGATAAATATTGTGCATTTAAAACACATTAAGTTTGTTGGTATATTACAGAAATCTTACCCGTTTCATTTATGTATGATTGACAGATATGCATCTGTAACACTCAGGCAGAGGAAGAAGCCAAGTGCATCAAATAGCAGTGTAACTTAAAAAACAAAACAATGGAAAGTAATCTAACAAGAGAAAACTGTGTGCAATGCCAATATATGATTCCGTCATCCTGTTTGATTCATTTGGAAGTATAGCATCAAGAATTTCAAAAAAAAAAAAAAAAAAAGGTATGGCAATTAAGAAACGCTTTTTTCAAATAAATGCTGATGCAGTGAACATTAAACGTGACTTATCAGCTGTTTCCGCTGATTGTGTTTTCTTTTATTTTGGTTACTAGTACTAGCTAACACCACCGTCATTCGCTCAAACTAATTTGCATTATTTTGTTTTATTTTATTTATTTGTTCATTTAAGAAATTTGAAAAAATTCACTTCACATTTGGGATGGAAACCCAGCTAATGAGCAAACTGAACTGAGTGCTAATATACAGTGTGAACACACTGAACAAAACAAGAATCAGGTGTGTGAAATCAGTCAAACAATGAATAACCATGACAACTATGAAAACATATTAAGCAACCATGATGACCAAGGTAACACAGGAAACAAGGAGAAGCAAACTAAAAGTCCATGAACGTGAAACTGAAACAGTAACAGAATTTAACAGCATTGATTATTTTTTATACATTGTTTTTTATGTAAAAACTGTGTAAATGGATAGAACTTTTATATGCAATTCAAATACAGAAATCTCAGGCATAAATATTTATTTGAGTGTGCCCAACGCTGAAGAACCCTCTTACAAACACAGAGGCAAGAGCACAAAGCCTATTAGGTTTTTATTAGATCTCAGTAGGCCTAACCTCTCAGCTGAAACACAAGTACGCTATTCTTTTCCTCAAAAAAAAAAAAAAAAGAATGAATGAGAAGACAGACGTCTGGCATCCAAAAATGTCTGCCCCTGGAGCAATTTCAGCACCATTCATGATATTTCTCGTGACATCATAGATTGCCACCTTTACCTGCTGTCAAGATAAAAGACACCGACTGGAATTCTTTCCACCAAACATTCAACTTAAGTGGCTTAATAACATATTATTTTCTCTTTATGCATGAAAAAGGCACAAGAACACCTTGTGATGTTAATCACCATAGAACAGCAGTGTTGTTGCTATGGTGTCTGATGCAACGCTGAAAAAAATAGACAATTAACCCAATGTTTATTTTATAGTATTCATTTCATTGCAAAACAGGTCATCGGGGGCATTCACAAATCACCAGCACCTGACAAAACCCCCTGCCTCTGGTTCACAGGTGCGTGAGTTTGTGTGATGGCAGAAGGTTGAATGATGCTCTGTCGCTGGAGGACAGATTGCCTTGACATGCGTAACTGAAAATATGATGGAAAACATCAACCAGCCTCATTGCTCTCTGTCTACTTCCTCTTCCCATTCCTGTTTCTCTCCACCTCCATTCCTCATGCTTATTCCTGTTAAAATCTCTCTTTCTTTCCCTGAATATCCCTCTTGGCCTCAGGAGGTGTTATGACAGTAAGGATGGAGAGTGTGGAGAGCAAGAAGGAGCATGAAGAGAGATAGTGCTGGGGGCGAGCTGCATGGAGGGTAGACGAGAGTTAAAAAAGGGGCACTGTTTCAGAAACGTAGCCTGGAGAGACAGACATCAACCGCCATTCGGCTTCCATTCAGACCTGCTCGTCTCACCCACACACTAATGTTTTGGAGGGGGGCTAAACATCAACACCCGTCAAAACAGGTAGCTGCCCTGATCTTGAGTAACACACACACATACCGACACCCATAATTACACAATACACCTCTGAGAGTGAATGACTGGAATCATATTGACAGTGTCATTTCTGCAATATAATAGTATGTAACAGTACTACATTCTTTTATATACAAATATAGAAAAAGCATTTCAAAAGCATTTTAAAATATATCAGTTTTTACAAAAGTTAGATAAAATCCTGTTAGGGTGTGCTAAGTAGACACACATAGACACAAAAATATTCTTTTGAGCGCTTTCAAAGTAGGATGTATGTCAAAAACATATGGACTGGCATTTTTTTCTCTTCTCTGTAGAGATTATTAAACTTTATTAAATTACAACACAAACAGTATAGAAAAGGTAAAGGATAATCCAACTGCAATTTTGTATGAAACTGTCTTATTCTTCACACACACACACACACACACACACACACACACACACACACACACACACACACACACACACACACACACACACACACACACACACAGAGACAGACACACACACACACACACACACACACACACAGAGAGAGAGAGAGAGAGAGAGAAGAGACCTGTCTCTAGAGAATTCAGTGATGACATTTTTGAGGTTTTACCATGGGGCAAAAAACAAAACAAAAAACCAATATCAAAATGAATGTCACTTTCATCCACTCATTCGCTTCAAACTGTACTGAACAGGTCAACAAACAACCACCTCGTCTGTCTGTCTCTCTTGTGGAAATTTTGATATCATTATTCTTATGTCTGTCTCTAGGCATGGGAGGCACCAGTTCTGACAGTGTTTGACTAGTGTTTTCTGATACAGGGCTGCGGAAACCAACATAATTAGACAAAACTGGGATGAGCGAAAGGAGTTGACAAAATCTAGCCCCAAGAAGTTTTGTCATTATGTTCTTCCTGTCACTGACGCTCCATCAAGTCATGAAAGTTGACACGCCTTCCCCCAGGCCTCAAGCTGTAACCATAAGAGTGATGGAATTTGCTTTCATAAAACGATTGCTGTGTGATTCATGTTTTACATTAATGATGAATGGGATTGAGGTTTACATTAATAGCTGCCATTTAAAGGGCTTTATTGAGCAGATTTCTGAATGCAGAGATCAAATGGGGAAAATACCTTAATTCACATGATTTACGATTAAGCTGCGTACTAATTGCTTTTCACATTCTAATCTAAACTTTCAGACCTTCCTTACAAAAACTTAACACCGTGTTAGTTTCCACTAAAACACAGGGCTGTGTTTTTGTCATAGACAGTAAAAGAAAAAGGTTTTTGTACTGAGACAAAGCCTTGGTCAGCCACACTGACCTAAAACACACTAAAACGCTGTGTTTATCTACCAGTTTATTGAATGAATGTCTCGTCTTCATTCATTTCAATAACTTTCGGCATTTTATAATATCTTCTATTTTTAATGTCTGTTTTATTATGTTATTAGAAATGAAAACTGTTAGTTATCATTTTAGTTCATTAAATAAATCTCCATTATATAAATGTATTACTAAATTTTAATTTAGCTTAACATCATATAGATAAATGTTAATTGGTATGTAGTAGGCTAACCAGTGTTTTTGATCACTGAACAAGAGATTAAATTATAGGCTATATCAGGACTATTCAGTCATATTTCCACATGGGAATCTTTGTCCCTGTTTTCTATGTTTAGCCAAGCCCTAGGCTATTGTAGTTCTGAATGTAATTTGACCTGGTTTGAATGAATGAATGAATGAATGAATGAATGAATGAATGAATGAATGAATGAATGAATGAATGAATGAATGATACTAGGCTGAATACATTCCGCCAAAGCTGGCGCTGTTTTCCGTTTTCTCGTCTAGTGTTTTTACAGTCAGGCAGTTGAGAGGGAGCCTAAAAGAGGTCCTTTTTCTTGGTGACGTGTATCCTTGATAGAGATATGTGAAACTAAACGAAACGGATGACAAAACATTGCATAACTTTCTATTAGAGGCTTTTTTTCTTTTTCTGTTTTGTTTACCGTGTTTTTGGTAGCACATTTAACGGTCTCTGAAAATGGACATGCTTTACCATCAGACCAATAAGTGAGTTTGTTCATTCTGCTGATCATTTTGAAATAAATTAACTTAGCTGACTTAACAGTAAACAGAACTATTACATACCTTTTTCATAAGTTGAACGATTTCATAAGTTCGGTACAACATGTAACAAATAGGCTCTTTGAAATCTATTTTATAGTAATGTGTATGTATAGTAAATAACGTTAGTAATGCTGTTTTCTTCCTGTATATGAATCTAATATTTTTGGTATTATTATTTTGCTTAATTATGGACTTTTTAGCTGCTTAGTGTGCCAAAAGTCAGGTTAAACTCTAAGGTAGAGCATGCTATCATCTGTCTGACAGAAGAGACGTCACACAAGATGGACCGTTTCACATCCATGAACCTAAAGTCCCTAAATATTTCTAACTCCAGTAAATAATGTACAGTTAACCCTTCCTCTCTTCTCACACATCCGTGTCTTTCACTTCCAGACAAATTCAGGAGGTTCAGTCTCAGATGGGACGACTGGAGACAACAGATCGACAGTCAGTCCACTGTAAGTCAGTGTGTGTGTGTGTGTGCGCGCGCTTACAATAGAAAGAATACAGGTCCTCAGTCCCACTGAGACAATAGGATACAAATAAGACACATACTCTTAAACGTTATGATAGTCAGAGCTGGGTCGTGGGGTTTATGAATATGAATTTCACCTTAAAGCTTCCTTATCCTCGATTGGTAATGTGTCTATCTGATACATATGGTGTACTCATGTACAGCGACATATAGAAATACAATATAAAGCAGAATCTTAACTGCTAAATGTGACTAAAAGACATGAAGATATTATAAACATCAAAGGTACAATTTGTAAGAATTTTGTAATAAAATATCCAAAAATCCTGCAGTTGTGTTTACAATATCCCAAACGTCTCCAAAGATTTTTTAAATAAGTGGCCGTCCAGGAAAAAAAAATGTCGCCTGTCAATGACGCAATATCCGCACCATCCTCGGTTTCCTGTCTGCCATAGCCATGAAATAACAGACGTGGACAACTGCGTAGTGCGTAACGTTTAGCGGCACACAGTTCTTGTTTCTTTCAAACATAGGTCATGGCAAGCAGACTTTGGGACAAACAAGAACCAAGAGCGTGGCATTTTTTGAGATGCCGAGAGCTCCACGTCCGCGACTAACTTGGACTCGACAGCGCTTCACGAGTCATGACTTGCCTGCTCTATTAGACAGGTGAGCAAATGTACATAAAACAAATCAATGTTATATAACATTAGCTTAACATGATGAAATGTTAGAATATGATCAGTACGTTATTCTAATGTTGATCCAGCTTACTGCTAGTTTTGTATAGCAAACAAACTAACACGTAGTATAACATTATAACTTTCAACACACTTTTAAATGCCGATTAATGTGATAGTGTAACGTTAGACCAAGTGAAGTAACTCTGCGTTACCTCACCAGTTTCATTCGTCTACTAAACTGACCTGTTTGAGTAATCCGGCACTTTCGGGCAGTTCGGAAGAATTAAATGTCCCTATTCCTTTATATCCGCGGGACTCGTGTGTGATATCTGTCTCTTTAGCAATCGCGACCTGCTTCATGCCACTGTAATGTTAAAAAACATGAATGTTTGCAGTTGCATTCATCCATAAACATTAGATCCATAAGCTTGACAGCAAGTCCCATCATTCAGCTCATCACTGCATCCCAAAAAAACCCTACATATTGTGCCTTTAAAATTATGATTTTTTTTTTTTTGCTTTGAAAATTGACTTTTCTAAATCAAGTATACCAGGTGTCGTATAGGCTGTACCAGACTGACTCATGGGTATTTATTGAACCAGAATGTCAATATTTTTAAACCACACTTACCATAAAACATTTTTTTTTTGTCTGACCAATTTTGAGACAACTTTGAGACCAATGTCATGTGACAACTTTTTTTCGTATCTTCCTACTCTGTGCTGTTTGCTGGTCCTGCTCTCAGAAATTAATTTGTGGCAATGCCCATACAAATGCCTGTTTTTTTGTTGATATTTAATCACTACATAAATTCACATCTTTATTCTCTTGTAACATTAAAGAACTGAGAAAGCGCGTCAGGTAACACCAGTTATAATAATGTGACATATAACCAGTCCTAGGCCTGGTTTACACCTGCGTACCAAATGACATTTAACTCTAAAAGTTTTGTGGTTCTATGCGTTGTCCATGACCTCTTCGCAAAAATGTATCGACCCCATTCACACCAGAATTTTCCTCTTGTGATCGGATAACCTTGATGTGTAACCACATTTGAACTGGGTCCAGTCTTCGAGCAGCAGGCAAAGTCATTGTGGTGCAACTGACCACCTGATTGTTCTTTTGAGGTGGAGCTCATGAAGAGAGCCAGGCTGGTGCCATGACAGGAAGGACAGGGAGGAGTGATGGGGTGGGGGGCATGGAGAATGAATGCTGGATCGAGGGGGCGAGAAGTGTGGAGTGGTATGGTTTGTGTGTGTGTTTGAGGTGGTGTTGTGGCTCTGTGGGTAGTCTGAATGAGATAACCGTCTCCTACCCATACTGATGACATCATATGAGATGTCATGGGCGGGAAGGATGCGTAACATATGCGTACGTTTGTCTGTGTGAGAGCGACTGTGAGATTGCATTGTCTCAGTGGGTGGGGGTCAGGGGAGACTGCCTGTGTGATAAAACTTTCCCACCAGTCTGTGGTTCTCTCCAAGGAAGCTGCACTCATTCCCGATCTGTGGATCTGCATGTCAATGCTTGATTTCATCTGTACCTGTTACTTATTTTAACTCATTGAAACTTAGGGCATTAGCATTTAAAATGGCTAATTGTAGCTTTTACTGTTTTGTTTAATAATATAGAATTTAAAAATCTGCCATATATCGATATCACACACACACTTACAATTTCTTTTACTCATCGCTTCATAATTTATTTGAATATTCACTATAATATATTATAAATTAATCATTTTATTCAGCAAGCATGCATTAAATTGATGTAAATTGGCATTTAGATACTTATTGTTGCATAACATTTATATGTTCTATTCGTTCTATTTGAAGAGTTCAGATGCAAAAGCCTCTAAATGTCATTTGAAATTTTCTTCTTTAATGATGATTTTTATCAAACTTGTATATTTAAGTTCAGTAATTTCACTTAAATAACAATTAATAGGTAATTATCATTGCCATTTAAGTGAAATCACTGAACTTAAATATACAAGCTTGATAAAAATGATCATTCTAGAAGAAAATTTCAAATGGCACTTGGAGGCTTTTGCATCTGAACTCTTCATTTGTTTTCTACAAAATTAAGCAGCACAACAGTTTTTAACATTGATGATAATAGGAAATGTTTCGAAGCAGCAAATCATCGTATTAGAATGATTTCTAGGATCATGTGAAGACTGGTATAATGATGCTGAAAATTCAGGTTTAACATCACAGGAATAAATTACACTTACACAATAAATAAAGTAAAGAAAAGTAATTTAAATAGTAATTTTTGATCAAAAGCAGCCTTGGTGAGCAAACCACCCCCAACTTGAATGGTAAAGTATGTGAAGTACTTTATGTTCTTGATATGATTGTTATTTGTGTACTTATATATTCTGATGTTTGTGTTTCTTGCAGTATTTGAGAATGAACTTCAAGCCAGAATTGATCAGATCTTTAATCAGCTGGAGCGACTCGAGATACTAGCCAGTAAAGAGCCACCAAACCGCCGCCAAAATGCCAAACTGTGAGTGTATGATTAAAAATATCCACTAGTGCCTTCTTGAATCCACTCAGATGTTGCTTTCTGGAGAATTGCCAACTAGAGCAAAATATCCTTCAAAATATAAATTAGATTCCAATTTGATCTTTAATCAATAAGCACAGAATGATATCAGTCCAGTATGTGAGTAAGTGGAAGCTGGACTATAGGACTGTTGGACGGATGACTACCTCAACATTGTAGGTTCAAAGATCAGGAGATTCATAAGCTACCGCACCATGACAAGGCAAGTTGTTCTGGGAAGATTGTGTTGTAAATGCATAATGTAAGTTGCTTTGAATGAGAAAGTCACTGCCAAATGAAGAATTGCCAAATGCCAGTGAACACATTCCGTCTGCAGTCACGTCATCACGAACATTCCTGGTGCACAACACTGCACAAACACCTGAGGCCAACACACCTGTTACACTCCCTCATGAAACAATGAATATCGCACAGACACTTCCTGAAGAGTGCCTGTCTCACATTGTGAGATTAATGTTGGTAAGTTGGCATAATCAATGGGAATCCTAGTTTTAATGGAAGGAGCTTCAGACACAAGTGATTGTTAGACCTATATTTGTTCTAATACATAAAATGTTTTTCTGCATTTGGTCAAAACAACTGAACAATAAGGATTTTTTTAAAAGTCTTATATATAACTTCTAAAAAAAATCTAAAATGTATTGATTTTGTTGTTGGGCCAAAAATAATATGCGTAGGACAAAACCAATAGCATATATATATCCTGAGTCCTAAATGGTGTAAATAAATTGTGAAAAGTTTGATTCGAAATAAATTTTTAGCCGTTACTGAAAGCGAAACCTACTTTATGCTTTATGCCTAAATGAGCAGGTACTCTACAACTATTGCACCACCAGACAATACCTGCAGGCTGCTGTGTGGTCCAAAAGACACTCAGTGTGTTTTTCTTTCGGTAGGCGTGTTGATCAGTTAAAGTATGATGTGCAGCATCTTCAGACAGCCCTGAGGAACTTCCAGCACAGACGTTACGCTCGCGAGGCTCAAGAGAGAGAAAGAGAGGAACTCATGAGTCGAAGCTTCACAACAAATGTCAGTAGACCACACACACACACACCGCCTTCTGCATACTTTCCGAAACTCACTGTCACTCATCAGTCTATAAACGTACATCACACTACAAAGAAGGCATGATTTTGACAGTTTTTTTTTCTTTCTGTGTAGGATCAAGACACCTCCATCCCTATTGATGAAACCCTGCAGTTTAATAGCAGTCTACAAAACGCTCACAGAGGAATGGACGACCTGCTGGGCTCAGGCTCCAGCATCCTAAACGGCCTGAGAGACCAGAGGAGCACACTTAAGGTCTGTGTGACACCGAATGCAGGGCGGATTGCATTTGGAGACCAGGAAGGGGAATTTTTTCATCCTCTTATCAGGGTGTTTCTAAACATTTCAAATAGCGCTTGACTGATTGTTGATAAAGCGGCGATCGCCGATAATACAGTTTAATGACAGTCAAATGAAGTGTTCACAAGATTAAGGAAAATAATAGATTTATTTATCCATTTAAAATTGAATCATAACAGTTTTAGGAAGTGCTATTTTGGCATTATTTATATACTACTATATTAGTAGCTTTTAGTAATTTTGTTGATTTTTTTTTCTTCTATTTTTATTATATTTTTTTTCTTAGTTTTAGTATTTAGTTATAGCAACATTTATATATTTTTTTTTTCAAGCTTTTTTTTTCTTTTTTCTTTTTTTGAGGTCATGCATGCTCATTTAGATGCTGACAGTGTTTTTCCAGGGAGGGGTATGCATTCTTCCTGAAGCTCGTCTGATTATCAGAGCGTGAGAGACCGTCTCTGACTGTGGTTTTGGGGAAATGACGGGGGTGATGTGTACCTCAGATGTTTTACTAATTGAATGAATGTGTCTGTTGGGTCACCGTGTTAAAAAAATGCAATTCAGAAAACTGCAGATTCTTGGTTACATCTTGCACCTTATCTCTCTCTTTTTTAGGGTACCCATAAAAAGATGTTGGACGTCGCAAACATGTTGGGTTTGTCGAACACGGTCATGCGTTTGATTGAGAAGCGAGCGACACAGGACAAGTTCATCATGATGGCTGGAATGCTCGCTACTTGCTTTGTCATGTTCCTGGTGGTTAAATACCTTAGTTGAACTTTCCCAACTTTAGGCGACCTTGCTCCTTGATCCTGTCAGTGACCCATTCCGGTTTTCATGCCCCTTGCATCACATCTGTAAAAATTGCAGAGGTGTGTTAAAGGAAATCACACAACTGTTTCATTGCAGGATGCCTGTCAGTCTCATCTTCACAAATCTTTTTTTGTGTCTATTCTTTCTTCATCTACAGTACTTTGAAAGGCATTGAGTCCTTTAACTCTCAAATAAGCAGTTTAAACATTTGTCTCTGCTAAAGATCAGTCCTCCTGTAGCTCAGGTGGTACAGACAGCAAATAGTAATTAAAATGTACTTTTAACATTGTGTAGAGAATTGGTCTGTTATCTGGCTTTTCATCGCCATCTTTTGGAGAACAAACCTAAAAATGTTTGGTCATTCAGTCCTGTGGTGGTTTTGTACTGTACTGTACACCTGTAAATACAAATTCTCAGACCTTTTTGTGCTATAAACTCATCATCCATATACATCCAGCTGCCCTCAAATGTAAAACTAGTTTTATACTGTTAAACTGTCCTTGCCTGGATCTAAGCAGAAGCCACGGCCCCTGGCGAACAGGAAATGAGATGTCTTATTGGACATCTGCTGCATGGATCTTGACGCTCTGTGTGTGCACATTCACACATGCTCAGGACCCCTGCAGCATAATCCCCAACAATGTCCCCCTGGAACAGTCACAACATTTATGCTTTTGCCACTGTTGACAGGTTTGTTGACCAAGATGAAAAAGATACCATAATGTGACATCAGGTCTTAATACAGGCTTAATTGCTTGTTACTTTAATTATTTGTTCATAATAATGCTCAATAATAATGTTCTTGTTTTTGAAAAAGTGTGAAAATGAGATAAAAAATTATGTGAAAGTAGAAAAAAATCTCACCTGCAGTTCTTTTCCACTATAGTCACAAATTTACAGACTTCAGGATTAGAAAGAAAACGTGTTACAAATGTGTGTAGTCATTAATGCTTATACTTGCTCAAACACATTTTAAGGTATTTAAAACCTGCCTCCATAATCTGACAAGCTGGTAGCATTTGTAATTGAAAGATCTTCATATTTATCATAGAATATTACTTCCTCTTTGGTTTCTGGTGAAAACTTTGCAACAAGACAATGCGTTGGACTAAAGCCAATCTAAGGCAAGTGAAGTACCATCCAACAGTGCCATCTAGTGTCGTTTGGGTGAACTTCATTGGGGTGATAAATTGGGGCCTATTTTGCCAAACCCTTAAAGGAATAGTTTTGCTGATAATTTACTCACCCCCATGTCATCCAAGATGTCCATGACTTTCTTTCTTCAGTCGAAAAGAAATTAAGGTTTTTGATGGAAACATTCCAGAGGTGTAACGATACCCTCATCATGTCACGATTCGATAGATATCTCAATACTGAACTCACGATACGATATTATTGCGATACTCCAGGTTAACAAAATATGTACTGTTGATTAAAATGCTAACTTTGATATTACATTGTGGGTTTAAACGAATAGGCTTGGACTCGGTGCTTGTAACCCAAGGACCATGGTGACACCAGAATAACAATATTCATGATTCTGAAGCTGAAAGTTACAGAATTATTGAGACGAATATTCTTGCACTCCGTCATTATAATCAATAGTATATATAGAAGTTTATTGTAGTACTGACACTAAAACTCTGAAAACTTGAATTTTTTCTCACACAGTCATTTTTATTTTGGAGGAACTATCCACAATACATATTGTCACTATCCACGATACGTATTGTTGCATTTTTGTATTGCGATATACTGTTACACCCCTAATTCCAAGATTTTCTCCATATAATGGACTTCAGTGGGAACCAAATGGTTCAAGGTCCAAATGAGAGTTTCATTGCAGCTTCAAAGGGCTTTAAACGACACCAGACGATGAATAAAGGTCTTATCTAGCGAAAGTTTTATAAGCACAAATGCTCGCCTTGCTCTGTTCTGTGATGAGCGTTCGTGACTCTCCTGTTCAAACTCGTTCATCAAAATTAACAATTTTTTTTTTGAGTCATGACTCGAAGGGTCCTAGATGAGACCCTTATTCATCGTCTGGTGTCGTTTAAAGCCCTTTGAAGCTGCACTGAAACTCATTTAGACCTTGAACCGTTTGGTTCCCAATGAAGTCCATTATATGGAGAAAATCCTGGAATTAGGGGTGTAAATTTCAGCATAATAATGATATGATAAACATGGATAATAATATTATCATAATTATAATAATAATCACACCTATACACCAGAATTACAAGTCAAAGTCTTTATTTGCTGATGCATCAAGGAATTAAAAAAAGCTAATTGCTGCCATTTACAGTACGTCACCAAACAGTTTAGCCACATTCTGCTGTCCCTCCACAGGTCAAACACACTCCTAACCTCTGTAGTACCAGCCCTGATCATGTTTACACAAGTTCAGTTCCCCCCCACATTTTTAATGTCATTATTTTTTTATTAGCATTTTTTTAAATGGGTGTTACAAACCTTTATTTTACAGTTTCACTACGTTAAGTTTATTTACATTTAACTAAGTGTACAGAAAGAAAACATTTTCCAAAGAAAATAATTTAAAATCAAATAGAAAATAAAATTATTGCAGAATACTACAATCATACAGTTGTTACAAGATGCAAAAACAGCATCTCAATGTACATCTTTTCAGTGCAAGATTTCACAATTTTAATAAGGGCCTTCAAATCCCAAAGTGTAACTTGTTATACAGTTTCAACAGCCTGTGACATTATAAAAACGTTTGACATCAACATGTGTGATGTCTGTTTCATTCACTATTTTCAAATAATTTATATTGATTTACAACCAATCAGCAAAAATAGCTTAACATTGTTCAGTGCTGAGTATGGCTTTTATTTTAAATCATCTTGTTCATGTTTTTTTTTGATACCCTTTGATCAGAGTATAGTACAATGGTTTTTGATAATTGGTATGATCTGAAAATTACCAATTATTGTGATAATCCTACAGAAAACCAATCGTCAGTTCATCACAGCCTGTTTTTTGAATAGCAGGCTTAATTGCATCTTTGCATATTGTATCAGTTTATTCATAAACTGTGCAACTTTCATGAATGCTTAGGACACAGAAACTCAAGTCTCCAAAAGTGACCCTTAAAGACCACCCATTACCAACTGTATCCAACCACGCTAAAAGCCCACAACAAAGATTTTGATTATGGCTTCAACAAGAGAGCTTCTGGATACAAGAAACATCAGAAAAATTGAAAAAAAAATTGACATACCACACAAAATGAAAACACGCCAGCAGTGGTTTCCTAGTTGTACGAGCTATGTCTTGGCCTATAAACCAAATCATACTCCTTGGGGGAATATTTATACATGTATATATATATATATGGTGTTACATACCTCAACCAACCATCCTAGCTCCTGGTTCAGGACATACAATTTCATAACATTACAATCTCAAAAGGCAGACAAGATCTTATTCTGTCCTCAATTTAATTGCACTCTTAAACAGCCCTGTTGAGGTCACCCTAAGGTAGCAGAGGATGTAGAGGATAGAAGAGGACTATGGGTTGCCAGACGGTGCCACCCATTAGATAAAACTCTTCAGCCTCACACGCTGCTCGGCCAGGCCCTCTCTTTGAGACAAGCCGGTATTCAGGAGCCATGGTTTGGAGGGTGTTGAAGGTCCTGCCCTGCAAAAATAGGATGCAGAAGTGGGTGTAGCTGTAGGGCAGCTGCTGCCGCAGCAGAGGCTGGTCGAGGGGCAAAGAGCGTTGGGTAGAGGGCAGCATGGGGGAAATGGTGTAGAGCAAGAGGGGTGTGATGAAGGGCAGAGGCTGGTATAATATGTATGGGTTGGCCTGAAAGGAAGGCAGTGTGGTGGGCTGGAATCAGGCCAGTGTGTCCTAAAGAGTGACCCAGTGAGTGGCCCAAAGAATGGCCCAGTGGTGACAAGGAGATAGGGGTTAGATGATGTTGAGGTATGTGGTGCACCTGGGCTAGCTGGGCATGGGCAGGGTGGTGATGATGATGATGTTGGGTATGGGGGTGAAGGCCCATGGCAGCAGCGTGGTGCTGCAGGATGGCATGCTGTACAGTGGTAATAGAGGTAGCAGACGCTGCAGAAACTGAGGGTTGCTGGATGTGCATAGGCTGCAGTGCAGCTGGTGGTGGCGGCGGTGCAGGGGCAAGGTTAGCCGCTGCTGCCAAGTTAGCTGCAGCTGCAGCAGCTGCAGCTGAGGGGAAGCTCTTCACCTGCTTGGCCAACAGTTGCTGTTGAATGTGCTGTTGAGCTGCTTGCTGTAACTTGCTGTACTTCTCCATTTCCTCTGGGGTAAAGGTAATTGGTTGACTTTCTAATGGTGCAAGACCATCCTCTTCAGCTTCCATGCCCATGTCCCCATCCTCCATTGTGGGAGGGGGGTAACCAGGGTAGGCGTGCATAGTAGGCTGCGGTCCCATGTCGGGCCCCATTAGATGCCCGTCCAACATGGGGTTACTGGAGTCTTGTAATGGCTCACCTTGGTATTGTGACATCATCATTGCTGGATCCTGTTCATATTGTGGCTGAGACTCATGGAGGGCTGGAGGGTCTGAGGGTGGATGTCTGGACTCCTCGGACACTGCAGCATTTGATACAGCCTCTTCCAATGGCTGCTTTTGTTGTTGTGGTTGCCGTTGTTGAACTGGTGGCTGAGGTGGAGGAGGTGGTGGGGGAAACTCACGAATGGGTTCTACCAGGATTACTTCATTACTATCAGAATTTTTCCCAAGTTCAGACTTTGCGCCCTCAGTTGAACGTGTAAGAGGAAGAAATGGTGACTTCTTTCCTGCTTGGAGCTTGCCAAAAAGAGACAACATACTTTTGTTTCCAAGGGCAGGGGGGAGCTTGGGCCCAAAGTACCCCTGTGGAGGGTCCTTGATCTTGATGCCTGTCTTAGTGCCAGTACCAGATTCATCCCCTCCTTTTCTAGATTGGATTTTCTCCAAGAGTTGTCGAGCTGTGAATGAATTTCGATGTTCTGCAGCACCTCCACCCTCCTTTGAGGAAGCTCCACCACCACTTCTAGTTCCTTGTGCTGATGAAGAGTTGCTGTTTCGGGTATGTGTGCGGGAAGAGGACCTAGGAGATTGGGAACGGTAGATTCTGGATCGGTTAAAATCCCGTCGCTGTGTTGAGCTGTCAGATCGCCGGCTGTGACCATGTCGGTGTGGAGAGCCCTTGGTGGAGATAGATGAACGACTGGCAGAGCTGCGGCTGCGACTGTAGCTGCTATGTCTGTATGAACGGGCACTGCTACTCCTGCTACTACGACTGGAGCTGCGACTACTGCTCCGTTGGTGTCTCCGCCGGTGATGTTTCCTGCGGCTGTGTGAGCGTGAACGTGAACGCGAGTCTTCCTCTGAAGAAGAGGAGGAGTAATGCCGCCTGTGAGATCGCCCACTATCACGCCTCTCATAATCTGAGTCTGAGGAGGGTATTCTTGATCTGTGGCGACGTTTTTCATCACTGTAGTCACTGTAACTGTCTGAGTAGCTACGGCTGCGGCGACTGTAAGCACTGCTCCCTGCTGAGGAACGCTCTGAGCTACTTGAGTAGGATCGACTGCGTGACTTTTGACCTCTGTGGCGTCTATGGTTGTGTTCTCCTCGACGAGATGACCTACTACGTGATCGTCCAGAATCATCACTGCGGTGTCTGCGCTGCTCGCGTTGTGGTGTGGAGCGACGGCGAGCTGGTCGAGAACGTTGAGAGGATGATCCACCATCCTCCTCACTGTCACTGCTAGGAGGTCGACCTCCACTTAAGCTCTTTTGGGCTGAGGCAGAGCAGGAAGCAGCAGGTGTGTTGGTGTCAGATTTAAGACGTTT